GGTGCCCTACTCCTTTGAGCTACAGGCCCTGCCCTCAAGCATCCATTCTTTAAATATTTATTAATGGGGTGGTGCCTGTGGCTCAAAGGAATGGGGTTCTGGCCCCATATACGGGAAGTGGTGGGTTCAAACCTGACCCTGGTCCAAAAAAAAAAAAAAAACTGTAAATATTAAGGTACTTTCATGAAACAGGCAATATTCTAAGTGCTAGTGTTGAAATGGGGAGTGGCTTTAGAGTCCATCCTGCCAAGACGTGTGTTTGATCCAACACTGACAAGACAAGCCATTCACAGGACAATGAACATTCTCGTGGGAAGGGTCACAGGAGTGACCATAGCTCTTTGGGATTTGGGGAATTTATTCTGGACTTGGGAGCAGTGGTCAGAGGAGACTATCTTTCTGATATCTAAGCCAGCTAGTATGCATGAGTGCGTGTGTATGAACATGCACATGCATGTGTGTGCACTTACTAGTCAGGAGGCGTGGGGTCAGAATGAAAACTTTTCAGGTGATCAGAACAGTATTTTCAGCAAGTAAAAGCGATTTAATGGCTTAATTTTAAAGAAATAAGTGGTGGATATAGATTCAAATGTATTTGGAGCCATATAAGTGATACCAGAAAAGTGGCGCCCCAGTCAGCTCAGCCGAGCAGGGCCTGGGGAGGGGACCTGCCAACTCGTCTTGGTGGCAGCAGCCAGCAAAGGAACGGCAGACTGGAGCAAGTGGGGGAGCTTTCCTCCTCCAGAGGATCCAGTAGAGTGGAGCTAGAGGACCTACTAATCAAGGGAAAACACTGGTGATTTCTCCAGTGCATCCCTGATTGGTCCATTTTCAATCCTGCTCCTGACTGGTCTATTTTATAGACCAATCAGCTAAGCTCTAAGCTCATTGGACAACTGCCCCTATATAAACCCCTGAGCAGAAAGCCTAGGGGCAGATTGTCCCTGACCTGAGAGAGAGAGAGAGAAGAAGAAGAAGACTTCAACAGATCATCGCAGACCATTGAGGGAGAGAGAGCAGAAGAGGAAGAGCTGTAACACTTATACCCTGCTCTGTGAGGAAGTTTGGCTCTTTGTAAGAGCTGTAACACTTGCATCCTGCTCTGCAAGGAGGATTGGCTCTCTGTAAGAGCTGTAACACTTATACCCTGCTCTGTAAGGACGTTTGGCACTTTATAAGAGCTGTGACACTTACATCCTGCCCTGCAAGGAGGTTTGGCTCTTGTAAGAGCTGTGACACTTAGGTTTTCCTATCTTATCCTGTTCTGCAAGG